TTTGCAGGTTCTCCATCAGTCGGAGAAAAGAACAGAGGCCAACCAGAGAATATTGAGAAGCAAAGCAGCTAGTAAGCCTGATCTTTATTGAACTGTTGCAACAGGGTCCTCACTCACCACACGCAGGAAAGGAGGAGGACCCAGAACAAAGGTGTGCCCGCCCTTATATAGACATTTTAAATTGCCCACCCGGGAGTCCAAGACCGCCCCCCAGATACATCATACCTACATCACAGAAAGGGCGGTCTACAGCAGAAATCTGAGTGCGTTGTTTATCTCCTGTCTGGCAGGTTACTTGTTTAATGGTCACTTGATTGGATACCCTGGGGAGCCTGGCCAGTCTTTTGTAATGACAAATACTTAGTTCCTGAGCTCACAGGCTCACCCTGTTCACACACAGACATACCCTTAAGACAGGGTTTGTGAATGAAAAGACAATGGGGAGGCTTTTCCATTTTCCTTTGACCTTGCAGAGAAAACATTTGCCCAGTTTGGGAGCCCGAATGGCTCCAGGGCTGCCCTCCTGTGCTGCCTCAGACATGCGGCCCATACATTTATGTACGTGTTTGCCTGGCACATCCATGAACCTTTATTATTTATATATGAAAGACCTTAATTTTTTTTATTTCAGTATGCATGTATGTATGTATAAACAAACAAACAAAGAACAAATAAAATTTTGCTGGCTTGCTTGCAGTAGTGTTTGTATTTGGAATTAAAAGCTGAAACATGCCTCTCATCAGCTTTAGCCTTTGCTGAACGAATGCCCCATTTGTCTTCACAAGTTAAGCCGGTGCATATTTAGTCAAAAGTTCACCTCACTGAATTCACCGGGGTTTGCTCACAGGCAGCCCTGAGCAGGATTGGCGTTTAAGGTGCCGTTGAAAGGCGGGTGGCTTTAAAAGAGGATTCAAAGACAGTGGATAGCTCAGTTGACGAGAGCGTGGTGCTGGCAATGCCAAGGTCGCAGGTTCGATCCCCGCATGGGGCAGCTGCGTTGTAGGGGGTTGGGCTAGATGACCGTTGAGGGTCCCTGTCAATTCTACAAGTCCATGATTTTATCTCTTTCCCTTGCTTCCTTCCCCAGGTGCAGACGCCCTTTGGGGTCCAGCGAAGATAGAGGAGCTGGAGGGATGAAGTGAGGCCTCAGCAGGTGCCCCCTCCGGTGCCATGGCGGACGGGGCCTCGCTCCCCATGGGCGACTGGCTCCGTGCCCTCCATCTGGAGCAGTACGCTGAGAACTTCGAGCAGAACGAGCTGTGGTGCGTCTCGGACTGCCAGCACCTGTCGGACGAGGCCCTGACCCGCCTGGGCATCCTTCTCCCGGGGCACCGCCGGCGCATCCTCTCTGGGCTCCTGAAGGCCTTCACGGAGGCGCTGCCCGTCATGGACGCCCCCAAGCTGCCCCCCAGGAGGCCGGTGCCCATGAAACGCAACATCTTCCGTGCTGGCGCTCCGACCGCGGCTTCCTCCACGGAGCAGGAGGCTGGGAGCGACTCGCCGACAGAAGCGTCGCCTCCTCGCCGGGAGCTGGAGGCAGCTCCCACGCCGCCGCCCATCCCTCCCCGGACGAGCTGTCACCCGCCGCTGAAGTTTTCCTCTACTGCTGCGTCCGAACTTCCCGCAGGCCCTTCTCTTTTGGAGTTTACGTCGCCGGCAAGAGGCAGGCTCAGCCCGGACGCTGCGGCTGCGGAAGAGACAGGGAACCCTCCCCTGCCCCCTCTGCCTGCCAAGCGCCACCATCTGGAGGGCAAGCCCCCCGCCCAAAAGGCCCCTCCGGTGCCCAGCCGCCCTCCCACGCTGCCCCCCAGGGGCCCACCCCAGAAAGCAGCGGCCAGGTGAGTCCGAAAGATGCAAAGGTGTTGGGCAGGGGGCGTTCCTGGGTGAGGGGACGGTCGCTTTCTTCCCACTGGACTGAGCCACTGCAGTGTAGTGGTTAGAGTGTCGGTCTGTGACTTGGGAGACCAGGGTTCGAATCTCCTCTCAGCCTTGTTGCTCGCTGGGTGACCCTGGGGCGGGTGCTGAACCGGCGTTCGAAATTTGACAGCCGCATTTTGAACCTGGCTATCGGCCACTTGTAACCAGGTGAAGATGCCCAGGCGCCAGGATGGCACCTGAGGTCACTGTAATAAACGAAAATCTGCCCTTATTCAAATATGGGGTACCCAAGAGCCCTTATAGAGTCCTTTGTAGGTTCTCCATCGGTCGGAGAAAAGAACAGAGGCCAACCAGAGAATATTGAGAAGCAAAGCAGCTAGAAAGCCTGATTTTTATTGATCTGTTGCAACAGGGTGCTCCCCTCACACGCAAGAGAAGGAGGAGGACCCCAAACCAAGGTATGCCCGCCCATATATAGACTTTTAAAATTGTCCACCCTGGAGTCCAAGACCACCCCCAGACACATCATACCTACATCACAGAAAGGGCGGTCTACAACAGAAATCTGAGTGCCTTGTTTATCTCCTGTTTGGCAGGTTACCTGTTACTGCTCACTTGATTGGATACCCTGGGAAGCCTGGCCAGTCTTTTGTAATGATAAATACTTCGTTCCTGAGCCAGGCCACAGGCTCACCCTATTCATACACAGACATACCCTTAAGACAGGATTTGTGAAGGAAAAGACAATGGGGAGGCTTTTCCATTTTCCTTGACCTTGCAGAGAAATCATTCGGTTAGTTTGGGAGTCAAAAATGGTTCCAGGGCTGTTTTCCTGCGCTGCTTCAGACATGTGGCTTATATATTTATGTACGTTTGCTTGGTACATTTATTATATATATAAGACCTTAGTTTTTTTATTTCACCACCATTGCGAGGTGCCTGCCTGGGGAATCCTTGGAGTTGCCTCTTTTCACGCAGAAATCTCACATCCTGTAGCTATTTCATCTGCGCAGTCAGAACGGATTTCAGGAACCAAAAAGTTGCATCGAAAAAGTCCGAGCCGCCTGGCCCCCAAATGGCAACTAGGCATTTTGTTTTGGCGACTGTAACCCAGGGTTAAGGGGCCATTTGGTACCTAGCCTTTATATCTGAATTTGTAACACTGAGTTGAACCTACCCTGCAGGGTTTTTGTGGGGTTAAATAAGGAGGGAGAGAAGAACCATGCGGAAAGGCGGCGCAGCCTTCTGGGAAACAAAAAACAGCAAAGGGTCTGGTGGCCTGATTATGATGGCATTGTCTGGGCAAGCAGGCTTTAAAAAGGGCTAGCGTTTAAGGCGAGCTTCTGCAACCTGGTGCCCTTCAGGTGGTTGGACTACATCTCCCATCAGCCCCAGTTAACTTTCTCGCCCTGATCTGGCCACAGTGATCCATGCGACAGTCACCTCCAGGCTTGATGATTGTAACTCGCTCTACGCGGGGCTGCCCTTGAAGCTGACCCAGAAACTCCAGCGGGTGCAGAATACCGTGGCAAGGCTCTTTGCCGCGGGATCACATTCATTCAGTGCTTTACCAACTGCACTGGCTCCCAGTGGAGTACGGGGTCAGGTTTAAGGTGCTGGTTTTGACCTTTAAAGCCCTATGCGGCCTAGGACCCTTGTACCTATGGGACCGCCTCTCCTGGTCTGCCCCGTGGAGGACCTTAAGGTCCACAAATGACAACACTTTGGAGGTCCTAAGTCACAAGGCGGTTAGATTGGTCTCAGCTAGGGCCAGGGCCTTTTCAGCACTGGCCCCGACTTGTGGAACGCTCTGTGTGAGAGACCAGGGCCCTGCAGGACTTGACATCTTTCCGCAGGGCCTGCAAGACAGAGCTGTTCTGCCTGGCCTTTGGTTGGGACTCAGTCTGACCCTTATGTTTCCCTCCGCTTACGGTTTTGATCTATGGGCTACTTTTAAAATGAGGCTGCATTTTAAATTGTATTTTAACCCGTATTTTAAATTGTTTCCCCCCTTTTTCTTTCTTTTTTCCTTCTGTTATGTTTTTATTGTAATTTTACTGGTGTTAGCCGCCCTGAGCCCGGCTCTGACCAGGGAGGGCGGGGTATAACTAAAATTTATTATTATTATTATTGGAGTTGGGGATGGGGCAAGGGGCTTTTAAGGACAGGCAGAAGAAAGGACTTCTTTGCACAGCGCATGAGCTGTGGAACTCCCTGCCACAGGAGGCAGGGATGCCACCAACATGGGTGGCTTTGATAAAGGATTGGACAAATTGGAGGAGGAGAGGGCTGTCCATGGATCCTAGCCACAATGGCTCTGTTCTCCCTCCACGGTCAGAGGCAGAAATGCTTCCGAATGCCAGTTTCCAGAAACCACAGGATAGGACAGGGCTCTTCTGCTCGGATCCTGCGTTTGGGCTTCCCATGAGACCAGGTTGGCCAGGTGAGGTGAAACTTGAATTCCTACCTGGGCTGCAGTTTGCTTTCTGAGCTGCTGCTGTGGTTGTTGTTTAGTCGTTTAGTTGTTTCCGACTCTTCGTGACCCCCTGGACCAGAACACACCAGGCACTTCTGTCTTCCACTGCCTCCCACAGTTTGGTCAAACTCATGCTGGTAGCTTCAAGAAAACTGTCCCACCATCTCGTCCTCTGCTGTCCCCTTCTCCTTGTGCCCTCCATCTTTCCCAACATCAGGGTCTTTTCCAGGGAGTCTTCTCTTCTCATGAGGTGGCCAAAGTCTTGGAGCCTCAGCTTCAGGATCTGTCCTTCCAGTGAGCACTCACGGCTGATTTCCTTAAGAATGGATTGGTTTGATCTTCTTGCAGTCCATGGGACTCTCAAGAGTCTCCTCCAGGACCAGAATTTAAAAGCATCAATTCTTCGGCGATCAGCCTTCTTTATGGTCCAGCTCTCGCTTCCATACATCACTACTGGGAAAACCATGACTTTAACTATACGGACCTTTGTTGGCAAGGTGATGTCTCTGCTTTTTAAGATGCTGTCTAGGTTTGCCATTGCCTTTCTCCCAAGAAGCAGGCGTCTTTTAATTTCGTGACTGCTGTCACCATCTGCAGTGATCATGGAGCCCAAGAAAGTAAAATCTCTCACTGTCTCCATTTCTCCCCCTTCTATTTGCTAGGAGGTGATGGGACCAGTGGCCATGATCTTCGTGATGTTGAGCTTCAGACCATATTTTGCGCTCTCCTTTTCACCCTCATTAAAAGGTTCTTTAATTCCTCCTCACTTTCTGCCATCAAGGTTGTGTCATCTGCATATCTGAGGTTGTTGATATTTCTTCCGGCAATCTTAATTCCGGCTTGGGATTCATCCAGCCCAGCCTTTCGCATGATGAATTCTGCATATAAGTTAAATAAGCAGGGAGACAATATACAGCCTTGCTGTACTCCTATCCCAAGCTTTCTGAGCTACAATCCTTCAAAAACTGTGTGGAAGAGATCTTAAAGAGCGATGAGCATTTCTGAAGCGCCGCCACTTTGTCCCAAAGAGCAGCAAATCAGCTCAGATGGGTAGAACAGAACTTCCTTTTTGAGGGCAAATAGCTGGTTCCCCAGAGTGAGGCTGTGACTATGCCGATTTTTGGGTGATGCTGCCCCCTCGTGTTGAAATCAATTCAGCCGAGAACCCAGTGAGAGAAGTAAGTTAACAGGCACGGCGTCCTAGGAATGTCTCCTGTTCAAGTCCACATCGTAGAATCATGGAATTACCGAGTTGGAAGGGACCCTGAGGGTCATCCAGTCCAACCTGGAGAATAATAATAATAATAATAATAATAATAATAATAATAATAATTTATTTATACCCCACCCATCTGGCTGGACTTCCCCAGCCACTCCAGGCGGCTTCCAACAAAATATTAAAATACAGTAATCCATCAAACATTAAAAGCTTCCCTAAAAAGGGCTGCCTTCAGATGTCTTCTAAAAGTCTGGTAGTTGTTTATTTCTTTGACATCTGATGGGAGGGCATTCCACAGGGCAGGCGCCACCACTGAGAAGGCCCTATGTCTGGTTCCGTGTAATCTCACTTCTCACAGGGAGGGACCGCCAGAAGGCCCTCAGAGCTGGACCTCAGTGTCTGGGCAGAACGATGGCGGTGGAGATGCTACTTCAGGTCTACTGGACCAAGGCCGTTTAGGGCTTTCAAGGTCAGCACCAACACTTTTAATTGTTCTTGGAAACGTACTGGGAGTCAGTGTAGGTCTGTAGAGACACTGTACATGAAAGCACTAGCAGGGCACTCACGGTGGTGGCCCCCACAGGTGGAACTCCCTGCCTGGGAAAATCCCACTTCTAGCCGTGTTCAGGCGCAGCTTGGAATCTCTCCTCTTTTGTTCAGGCCTTTGGGATGTGTGTGTGCATATACGAAGGGTGTCAGGGAGATATTAGCTGCTGCCATTTTTGTAGATTTTTTAAAACGATGAAATGTATTGCTTTGTTGCTTGAGAGCTGGTGTGGTTTAGTGCTTATAGTGCTGGACTGGGACCTGAGAGACCAGGGTTCGAATCCCCCACTCGGCTATGAAGCTCCCTTGGTGACCTTGGCTTAGCCTACCTCACAGGGATGTTGTGGGGATCAGTTGAGGAGGGGGAGAACCATGTTGTTGTTGTTTAGTCGTTTAGTCGTGTCCAACTCTTCGTGACCCCATGGACCAGAGCACGCCAGGCACTTCTGTCTTCCACTGCCTCCCGCAGTTTGGTCAAACTCATGCTGGTAGCTTCGAGATCGCTGTCCAACCATCTCGTCCTCTGTCCTCCCCTTCTCCTTGTGCCCTCCATCTTTCCCAACATCAGGGTCTTTTCCAGGGAGTCTTCTCTTCTCATTAGGTGGCCAAAGTATTGGAGCCTCAGCTTCAGGATCTGTCCTTCCAGTGAGCACTCTGGGCTGATTTCCTTAAGAATGGATTGGTTTGATCTTCTTGCAGTCCATGGGACTCTCCAGAGTTTCCTCCAGCACCAGAATTCAAAAGCATCAATTCTTCGGCGATCAGCCTTCTTTTATGGTCCAGCTCTCACTTCCATACATCACTACTGGGAAAACCAGAGCTTTACAGGGATGTAATTGCAGAATTGTTATGCCGTGGTTCGGCTCGTACCTCCTGGGCCGTGTCCAGAAAGTGGAACAAGTCTAAACTGAATTCTGTCCTCTTAGGCAAAGATCACAAGACGACCTGGCTGGTAGCCAGATTCTGCGCCCAGATTTGTAGGTACAGATCATCCTCTAGAATAAAATAGCTTACTAGGAAAATGCTGAAGTTGCCCTTTGGGGCGCCTCAGGGTCAATTTTTATGGTAGCCCAAATCTCAGTTGGACGGGTGTATGTATATATCTCAGTTTTAACTCATGAGCTATTGCTGCAATCTGCTCCGATTGTATAGTTTATCTTTATGAACGCTGTTTTTATTGTGTTATGTTATGTAAGCTGGTCTTTGACCGTAATAAATTATCTCATCCAACTATCTACCCAGCTCTACCTCTGACACAGGTCCTGTGTGAGTGTCTGGAGACGGTTGTAGGAAGGATGGCAGCGTAGGCGAGTTGGTTTGGCCAATCGTGGTTCCAGACGGGCAGCGGCAGTTGGTGAGAGCGAAACAGCTTTCCTTGGCAGACTGGAGTGAAGACTTGGACTTGCAAGTCGCTGAAGAGGGGGTGTCAGACGGAGCCGATCGGCAGACCTTAGCGATGTGGCCCCTTCTGGAACACGTGTGACAGATGGCGTCTCTGAATCTATTGAGGTTGAATCCTGACAAGACAGAAGTACTCTTTTTGTGGGACAGGGGGCGGGTGGGTATGGAGGACTCCCTGATCCTGAATGGGGCAACTGTGCCCCTGAAGGACCAGGTGTGCAGCCTGGGAGTCATTCTGGACTCACAGCTATCCACGGAAGCGCAGGTCAATTCTGTCTCCAGGGCAGGTGTCTACCAGCTACATCTGGTGTGCAGGATGAGACCCTCCCTGCCCACAGACTGTCTTGCCAGTGTGGTGTGTGCTCTGGTTATCTCCTGCTTCAGCTATTGTTTTGAGATGCTAAAGACTTAGTTCTTGAATCGAAGGTCACACGCCCACCCTTTGTTGTTGTTTAGTCGTTTAGTCGTGTCCGATTCTTCGTGACCCCATGGACCAGAGCACGCCAGGCACTTCTGTCCTCCACTGCCTCCCGCAGTTTGATCAAACTCATGCTGGTAGCTTCAACAACACCATCCAACCATCTCATCCTCTGTCGTCCCCTTCTCCTTGTGCCCTCCATCTTTCCCAACATCAGGGTCTTTTCCAGGGAGTCTTCTCTTCTCATGAGGTGGCCAAAGTCTTGGAGCCTCAGCTTCACGATCTGTCCTTCCAGTGAGCACTCAGGGCTGATTTCCTTAAGAATGGATACGTTTGATCTTCTTGCAATCCATGGGACTCTCAGGAGTCTCCTCCAGCACCGTAATTCAAAAGCATCAATTCTTCGGCGATCAGCCTTCTTTATGGTTCAGCTCTCACTTCCATACATCACTACTGGGAAAACCATAGCTTTAACTATATGGACCTTTGTTGGCAAGGTGATGTCTCTGATTTTTAAGATGCTGTCTAGGTTTGTCATTGCTTTTCTCCCAAGAAGCAGGCGTCTTTTAATTTCATGACTGCTGTCACCATCTGCAGTGATCATGGAGCCCAAGAAAGTAAAATCTCTTACTGCCTCCATTTCTTCCCCTTCTATTTGCCAGGAGGTGATGGGCCCAGTGGCCATGATCTTCGTTTTTTTGATGTTGAGCTTCAGACCATATTTTGTGCTCTCCTCTTTCACCCTCGATAAAAGGTTCTTTAATTCCTCTTCACTTTCTGCCATCAAGGTTGTGTCATCTGCATATCTGAGGTTGTTGATATTTCTTCCGGCAATCTTAATTCCGGCTTGGGATTCATCCAGCCCAGCCTTTCGCATGATGAATTCTGCATATAAGTTAAATAAGCAGGGAGACAATATACAGCCTTGCCGTACTCCTTTCCCAATTTTGAACCAATCAGTTGTTCCATATCCAGTTCTAACTGTAGCTTCTTGTCCCACATAGAGATTTCCCAGGAGACAGATGAGGTGATCAGGCACTCCCATTTCTTTAAGAACTTGCCATAGTTTGCTGTGGTCGACACAGTCAAAGGCTTTTGCATAGTCAATGAAGCAGAAGTAGATGTCTTTCTGGAACACTCTAGCTTTCTCCATAATCCAGCGCATGTTTGCAATTTGGTCTCTGGTTCCTCTGCCTCTTCTAAATCCAGCTTGCACTTCTGGGAGTTCTCGGTCCACATACTGCTTGAGCCTTCCTTGTAGAATTTTAAGCATAACCTTGCTAGCGTGTGAAATGAGTGCAATTGTGCGGTAGTTGGAGCATTCTTTGGCACTGCCCTTCTTTGGGATTGGGATGTAGACTGATCTTCTCCAATCCTCTGGCCACTGCTGAGTTTTCCAAACTTGCTGGCATATTGAGTGTAGCACCTTAACAGCATCATCTCTTAAAATTTTAAGTAGTTCAGCTGGAATACCATCACTTCCACTGGCCTTGTTATTAGCAGTGCTTTCTAAGGCCCATTTGACTTCACTCTCCAGGATGTCTGGCTCAGGGTCAGCAACCACACTACCTGGGGTGTACGAGACATCCATATCTTTCTGGTATAATTCCTCTGTGTATTCTTGCCACCTCTTCTTGATGTCTTCTGCTTCTGTTAGGTCCTAACCACTTTTGTCCTTTATTATGGTAATCTTTGTACAAAATGTTCCTTTCATATTTCCGATTTTCTTGAACAGATATCTGGTTCTTCCCATTCTGTTGTTTTCCTCTATTTCTTTGCATTGCTCGTTTAAGAAGGCCTTCTTGTCTCCCCTTGCTATTCTTTGGAAATCTGCATTCAATTTCCTGTATCTTTCACTATCTCCCTCGCATTTTGCTTGCCTTCTCTCTCCCGCTATTTGTAAGGCCTTGTTGGGACAGCCACTTTGCTTTCTTGCATTTCCTTTTCACTGGCATGGTTTTAGTTGCTGCCTCCTGTATAATGTTGCGAGCCTCCACCCATAGTTCTTCAGGCACTCTGTCCAGCAAATCTAAATCCTTAAACCTGTTCCTCACTTCCACTGTGTATTCATAAGGGATTTGGTTTAGATTGTATCTTACCGGCCCAGTGGTTTTTCCTACTTTCTTCAGTTTAAGCTTGAATTTTGCTATAAGAAGCTGATGATCTGAGCCACAGTCAGCTCCAGGTCTTGTTTTTTGCTGACTGTATAGAGCTTCTCCATCTTTGGCTGCAGAGAATATAATCAATCTGATTTCGATGCTGCCCATCTGGTGATGTCCATGTGTAGAGTCGTCTCTTGTGTTGTTGGAAAAGCGTGTTTGTGATGACCAGCTTGTTCTCTTGACAGAACTCTATTAGCCTTTGCCCTGCTTCGTTTTGAACTCCAAGGCCAAACTTGCCAGTTGTTCCTTTTATCTCTTGATTCCCTACTTTAGCATTCCAATCCCCTATAATGAGAAGAACATCCTTCTTTGGTGTCAATTCTATAAGGTGTTGTAAGTCTTCATAGAATTGGTCAATTTCAGTTTCTTCAGCACCAATAGTTGGTGCATAAACTTGGATTACTGTGATGTTAAAATGTCTGCCTTGGATTCGTATCGAGATCATTCTATCATTTTTGAGATAGCATCCCAGTACAGCTTTCACCACTCTTTTGTTGACTATAAGGGCCACTCCATTTCTTTTATGGGTTTCTTGCCCACAGTAGTAGATATGATAGTCATCCGAACTGAATTCGCCCATTCCCGTCCATTTTAGTTCATGCCCACCCTACCCATATACCAAATATGCCCTTAAAACAGGATCTGTAGGATTTGGTAAGTGAAAAGAACTGGGGAAAGTTTATCAAAGGAAAGGCATTTCCTTCTGCAGAGGAAACACTTAGGAGTCATTAGGAGAGACAAGATGGCTTTTGGGATTGATTTGTGTGCTAAAATAAAGGACAGTTTTCTCAGGGTTTGTTTCCCAAAACGCCCAAGGGTGAAGGAATGTTTTTCTGTGCAGTGTGTGCACCCTTAAAATGTCATAGCAATTACAAAGCAAAAGACAGACACTTTTAAACACAGGTTGCTTCTGTCTTGCAGCCCTCTTGTTTCTGAGCAAAGCAGATTGTCTTCTCTCTCTCTCTCTCTCTCTCTCTCTCTCTCTCTCTTTCAAGGCCAGACCCTTCAGAACCTCCGGGGGTCTGTGCAAAAAACAAAAAAGGAGAGTGAAAAGAAGTTTCTGCGAGAGGAGGAAGTCTGCTAGCCGTGGTGGATTCTGGGTGTTGTCGCTTTCTCTCTCCCACTTTCATATTCTCTCTCTTTAAAGCAGCCTGTCCGCTGTCTCTCTCTCTGCAATTTTCAGGAAGTCCTATCAGGAAGCGCTTTTGCCGAAAGCAACAAGGAAAAGTTTGCTCTGCAAAGGTTGTGGTCTCTTGGCTTTTCCAGTTCATCTGGAGGGGGGCTCCCTTTCTCTCCCTTTCTCTCTCTTTCTTTTTCTCTGGGGCAGCTCTCTGAAGGGGGAATCTTTGAGACAAAAGGACAGAAAAGGGGCGCCCCCTTTTTCGCTGCTCTCTTGTGCCCCGCTGGCATTTCGGAGCCAGCCTGCCTGCCACTGGACTGCAGAGGTCTCCGCCTTCGCCGCCACTTCCCCCAGGTAACAGATCTGAGGACAAACTTGGACTTGTCTCCTTTTTGCAAAGCAAGGAGCTGAAAGGAAAGCAGCAAAGGAGAGGCATGACTTTTGCTTTGTGTGGGTCGATGCTGTTAACTCTCTTTGCCTCTTTAGCAGGCTGCCTGTCTGCCTTTTTTTCTGATTTACCGCTGTTGATCTCGCCTCCGGGCTGTTGAAAACTTCTCTGTGTCGACATATTTTGGAAGGAGATTTGGGGCTTTTGTGGGGTGGGTGGGGAAAACATCGCCTTGTGTAGGGGAGAGGGAGAAATTTAACTTTCTTGATGTGGATTCATTTATTCTTTTAAGCTGCTTGGTTTCTCCCAGTTTGGGGCTTTGTTCCTGGAAGGTCTGAGGTTCTATGAGATTTATATGTGTGTAGAAGTTGGGAAACTTTGTTGAAGCGTTGTGAAGAGTCGGCCCCCAGGAGCCTCGCTGATGCTCCAAGATTGAGAGGGTGCTGGCAGAATCACAGAATTGTGGAATCAGGAGGGACCCCCAAAGATCATAATTCTAGACCAACCCCCTGCAATGCAGGAATCTAAAGTTCCCCGTCAATCACTTATCAGGGTTATTGATTCTGGACTGGGATATTTTCCCCTGTCATGATAAACATGGGTGAAAGATGGCTAGGATTTATTGGGGCATTTCTGGCTGCTGAAAGGAATCTTCGATAACAAATCAAATTAAAATGTATTTTATCAGCCTGGAGCCCTCCCAGCCAGCTGGGAGTTGTAGTCCAAAAACATCTGGCGGGAACCAGGTTGGTGGAGGCTGGGATAGAGAATGTATGTTCTTCCCCCACCCAAAGAACTCCAAAATGGTTATTCCCGTGTTAATCAATTCAGTCGATTGATTAACTAACGTGCCGCCCCCTACTTAAAATTTTAATTATTACATAAAACAATATTGAATAGGCTAGAAAATGCATATGTTGCAGTCTACACAGAAACACAGCGTGTTTTCCCCCCCAAAGTTGGCTTTTCACTGTTAACCTCAGGATTTCCCATGATTTTTATTGATAATTTGATTTTTATTGATCATTTTATTCTTTTATCTCTTTTGTAAAATGCTTTGAGTTTTTTGTTTTTACAATCAGGCAGGGTATAAATTTTATGAAATAAATAAATATGATTTGTTCACACACACACACACACACACACACACACACATTTAAAGAGCAGCAATAAATGAGAACATGCCTTTCGGATAAAAACTGTTCCTTTATATATTCATTTTTACATATAATTTCCAAAAATCTTATACCATATTTTCTTATACAATGCTTTGGACTTCCATCAACTACATCTGTAGATTTTTTAATCATTATCACTTAATCTGCATTTCATTAATTTCACTATTACTTTTAATAGTCCTTCACTAATAATTCTCATCATAATTTTCTCTGCAATATTTCGCCTAGTCCTCCTTACAAAACTTCTTGCAATCCTATTAGTGTCATCTGTTGATTACAATTGCTTTTCAAATAATTCACGTATTTACTCCAGTCCGGATAAAAAAATGTTTCTTAGACCTACCCCAAAACGGGCCAAGGGGGAGCTTAGCGGATCTCCCAAGAGATCTCCCTTTGTGGAGCCACCACTGAAAAGGCCTTTACCGAAGATGGGGCAGAGAACAGAACCCCAAGTGAAGATGCCCAGGTGCCAGGATGATGCCTGGCGTCTCCACCATCGGGAGCTGCATGCCTGGGGGTCTTCGGATCAGGACTGTTTTCAGAAACTAGCAACGCATCCTGTAGAATTCTATCAGTTACATTTTATCTGAACAATCAGAACGAATTTCAGGAACCATACTGAAATATATGACTTTTGTGCCATCTGGCCCCAAAATGGCACTGGGCATTCTGTTTTGGCGACTGTAACCCTGGTTTAGGGGACGCGGGTGGCGCTGTGGGTTAAACCACAGAGCCTAGGACTTGCTGATCAGAAGGTTGGTGGTTTGAATCCCCGCGACAGAGTGAGCTCCCGTTGCTCGGTCCCTGCTCCTGCCAACCCAGCAGTTCGAAAGCACAAAAGTGCAAGTAGATAAATAGGTACCACTCTGGCGGGAAGGTAAACGGCGTTTCTGTGCGCTGCTCTGGTTTGCCAGAAGCAGCTTAGTCATGCTGGCCACATGACTTGGAAGCTGTACGCCGGCTCCCTCGGCCACTAAAGCGAGATGAGCGCTGCAACCCCAGAGTCGGTCACGACTGGACCTAATGGTCAGGGGTCCCTTTACCTTTACCTAACCCTGGTTTAAGGAGCCATTTGGTGCCCAGCTTATAGACTTGAGTTTCTAACGGTCCACAAAGATTGTGCAACGTCACAAAGGCTGGCAACAGAAACACCACTGTGTGGGAATCCCTCGCGGATGACTGCACTGCCTGGAGACAGGTTGTGCATCCACAGCAGTGACCAGAGGAGGAATGACCGCTGGGAGGAGTGCAGAAAGACCAAACGCCCAGGTGTATCTGAAGCAGCGCAACTGAACACCTTCATCTGGCCCAGCTGCAACAAAACATGTCTCTCCTGTAACGGTCTCTACAGCAACAGCAGGTGCTGCAACCTCCCAGCAGTTTGACTCCCAAAGGCACGTTCCTCCACTGTCTCCCGAGAAAGACGGGTGCCGACAACAATAGCACCTGCGATGCATGCAGAAGACCCCAAATTCAGTCCCCGGTGACTCCAGGTACGGCTCGGAGAAAAGCCTGTTTGAAATTCTGGAGAGCCGCTGCCAGCCAGCGTAGGCTAAGGTTACCAGATCTTTTTCAATGAATCCGGGGACACTTCAAATAAATAAATACTACACGTTCGGGATGTTGATGCTGCAGCGATGGCGGTGGCAGACAGGCGGCCACCGCCTTGACCTCAACCGCCACGTTTCCCCTTCCTCCGAGGCTTCTATCTCCTTTCTCCATGAGCCTGGGTAGTCCCTGAGTTGTTGGTTCTTCGGTGGTGGGGAAGCGCTGCGCGGTGGGTCAGGCATGGAAGACGAAGAAGGAAGGCCAAGAGCAGCGGCAAGGCTCGGGCAGCGCGATGCCTCCCTTCCCATTGGAGCAGCCCCAATCCCATTCCTACTTGTGTGCAAGCAGGAGGGGGCAGGGATCTCTCAGGCAGCGCGATGCCTCCTTTCCCATCAGAGCGGCCCCAATCCCATTCCTACTTGCATGCAAGCAGGAGGTGGTGGGGATCCCTCAGCTGGGAAGGGAGGCTTCCCGATGCCTAAATGAGAGGTGCCTGCCCCCTCCTGCTTGCACGCAAGCTCTGATAGGCAGCGTGAAGCCTCCCTTCACAGCTGAGAGATCCTCGCTCCGCTCCTGCTTGCACGCAAGTAGGAGTTTGGAGGCTGCTCCGATAGGCACCATGAAGCCTCCCTTCACAGCTTAGTTGCGGGGGTCAGGGAAGGTGGAGGCAGCCCGGAAGCTGCATCTTTGAGCCCCTGCACAACCATCATATGGGGACTTCCGAACAGCTCCTGAAGCCAGCCAGAGCCAACTCCTCCAGGCTGCTGAGACTGCCGCTGCTGCATTTCCCAGGGACATTAGATGAAACCCGGGGACATTCCGGGGATGGAATTTGTCCGGGGACTTATTCGCGAATCTGGGGACTGTCCCGGGGAAATGGGGACGTCTGGTAACCCTAGTGTAGGCAGCACCAAGCCGGAATTAATGCTGCATTTAATGCTTATGAGCTAGAAATTATCCTTTCCTGGCAAGGGAACAGGGATTTTTTTTTTATCTACAAGAAGCGGCCATTTAATTCAGTTGTGATTCCAGCGTTGCAGGGGGAGCAGTCGACTAGGTGCTTTTTGGCTGCCTTCTGCTTCTGCGATTCCACCTTAAACAAATGGCTTTCCTCTCTCCTTCCCCCCAAACGAATTATGAAGATTGCGGCCCACATTCTTAATTCGCCCAGTGCGGCCAGATTCCTAAATGCAGGGGGTTGGACTTGATGACCTTCGGGGGCCCCCTCCAACTCTGCAATTCCACCAGCCTAGAAAGCAGCCTTGAGACACAAGGAGCTGGCTTGGGTTATTCCCGTCTCCATCTTCCCAGAACCTAATGACAGGGCTGTAAGGAAATAATTAACAGGATTCTGGCTCTTTGTTGCGGCCAGTGCTGTCAGGAGACAAGGGAGTCCCTGTTCCTGCAGCTGAGGCGGGTGCTTAGTTTGGGGAGAGGGGAGTTTCTTTCAGCTCTTTCTCTCCAGCTTGTGGTCTGCTTGGCCTCTCCGTCTCCTTTGCCCTCTCCGGCGTCTATATTTAGGGCTCTCTCAGACAGCGCTAATTTGGGTGCAGAGAGGGCAAGTCTTTTCCATATGCATTTAGGAACAATGGGCAGCACAGACTGGGGGTCACCAACTCTCTGACCCTCTGCATGTTTCCACCCTTGAGTGCATCGTGAAGTTTAATACACACCAAGATGCGTCTTTGGGTAGAGGCATTCCTAAAAATGGTTGTTTATTTCATATAGAAATCTCTTAAAAGGTAAAGGGACCCCTGACCATTAGGTCCAGTTTGGACGACTCTGGGGTTGCAGCGCTCATCTCGCTTTACTTGCCGAGGGAGCTGGCGTACAGCTTCCAGGTCATGTGGCTAGCATGACTAAGCCGCTTCTGGCAAACCAGAGCAGCGCACGGAAACGCTGTTTACCTTCCCGCTGGAGCGGTACCTATTTATCTACTTGCACTTTGACGTGCTTTTGAACTGCTAGGTTGGCAGGAGCAGGGACCGAGCAACGGGAGCTCATCCCGTCACAGGGATTCAAACCGCTGACCTTCTGATCTGCAGGTCCTAGGCCCTGTGGTTTAACCCACAGCGCCACCCGCGTCCCGAGGAATCTCTTACCATAGAATAAAAACATATATGCAGTGTTAGAAACTTAGGTATATAAGCTAGGCACCAAATGGCTCCTTAAACCAGGGTTAAAGTTGCCAAAACAGAATGCCTAGCTGTCATTTTGGGGCCAGACATCACAAAAGTCGTATACAGTCATATCTTGGGTTACGAATGCTGCGGGTTGCATGTTTTCGGGTTGCGGACCGTGCCGAACCCGGAAGTACTGGAACGGGTTACTTTCGGGTTTCGGCGCATGCGCAGAAGCGCAAAATGATGTCACACACATGCGCAGAAGCGCCGAATTGCGCGTGCGCAGATGCGGTGCTTCAGGCTCTGAACGCTGTGGGTTGCAAACGTGCCTCCCACATGGATCACGTTCGCAACCCGAGGTATGACTGTACAGTCGTGCCTTGGATCTCGAATGCCTTGCCTCCTGAATAAATCAGCTCCCGAACGATCGAAACCCGGAAGTGAGCATTCCAGTTTTCGAATGCTTTTTGGAAGCCGAACGCCTGGCTGCAGGAGCCTCCTTCAGCCAATCGGAAGCCGCATGTTTTGGAAGTTGAATGGACTTCTGGAACAGATTCCGTTTGACTTCCCAGGTTCCAAGGTATTTCAGTATGACCTTTTTGGTTCCTGAAATTTGTTTTGATTGTTCAGATAAAATATAACAGATAGAATTCTATAGGATGTGTTGCTAGTGTGTGAAAACGGGCAAGATCCAAGGATCCAGGTGCAGGAGACGTCATGTGTCTGCTTGGTGCTTGCCTGGCACCTGGGCATCCTCCCTTGGTTGCAAGTGGCCCATAGCCAGGTGCAAAATGTGATTGACTCCTGGCAGATTTTCTGCCTATATCCATAAAAATGCAAGGCTGTCGTCACACTGCTCCCATTGGAGGATTTGTAGGGCAGTACTACAATCCTGGATTTGCACAATGTCAAGGGTCGGTAGGGGAGCAAAGGGAAGGCAGGTTGCATCAAACCAATGGCCATAGCATGGGCATGAGAAGGGGGAGACACTGAGGGGGGGGGGAATTGTGGTTTAAAACAACAGTTTACTCAAAGTCTAGTGTCCCGATCAAGGGAAGTAATGGTACCACTGTATTCTGCTGTGGTCAGACCCCATCTGGAATACTGGGTCCAATTCTGGGCACCACAATTTAAGAAGGATGTTGACAAGCTGGAAGGTGGGCAGAGTAGAGTGACCAAGATCCAGGGTCTGGAAAGGATGCCTGATGAAGAATGGTTGAAGGAGCTGGGTATGTTTAGCCTGGAAAAGGGGAGACTCAGAGGAGATAGGATAGCACTCTTCAAATATCTGAAGGCCTGTCACATGGAGGAGGGAGCAGGCTTGTTTTCTCCTGCTATGGAGGGTAGGACTCGAACCCATGGCTTCAAGTTGCAAGAAGGGAGATTCCAACTAAATATAAGGAAAAACTTCCTGCCAGTCAGCTGAATGGTCTCCCTCGGGAGTTTGTTGACTGTCCTTCCTTTTGAGCAAAGCTTGGATGGTCATCTGTCATGGATGATCAAACTGAGATTCCTGCATTACGGGGGTTGGACTAGATGGCCTTTGGGGTTCCTTCCAACTCTGCAATCCTATGCTGCTTTGACCGAAGTAAGCTCCCCTGGGTTGCTGGTTATCACTTTGCACAAAGTTGTAAGGGTGATCTCATAGCTGGCTTAGTAGTCAGATAGCTTCTGTTACATCTCCCATTATTTTTTCAAGCTATGTACTTTGTCTGATTGATATTCTACAGCCTTTTAAATGTCTTTGTGGGAAGTGGGGAGGGGGGTTATTGCTTTTATTTTATTTTAACAATTTACTTGTGTTTTTACCTTGTATGAAGCTCTTGTGACGAAGGGCCGAATATGAATGTAATCATACTTTGCAATATAAATTGAGCAGAAATCTCTAGATACGGAAACAAGAAGGCGTCTCGCAGGCAGGCTCGCCGCAGCTCTTGCCCTCATTGTGTCTGGCTAATCGGCATTCATTTGGCATTGCATTTGCGCCCAAAATGCATTTTGTTCCTCCCCCTGCAAGATGGGGTGCTGGTGCTCATTTTCGGCACACTTTTAGCGCTGCGATGGCCAGACCCCTTTCCTCAAATGCGTGTGAAGGTGGCGCAGAGCTTCTGCCCAAAGGTTTTATCATTATTATTATTGATACAGCAAGAAAAGAAAAAAGAGAAAAAACAAATACCGAATTCCACACAGGAATAACCATAGACACAGAATTTTCTTAAACAATAAGACGTAAATTGGTCTTAACACTAAAGACCCAACCTCCCGTCTATTCCGTATTTCAATTTCATATAACTTATTGCCAATACACACTTTTATCATCATTAAACGTTTTCTTAATATATCTTAATTCTTATATCTGCCTTGCAACTGTTACTGAAGTTCCTCGAATGCCACAACCAAGTTTAAACTACTGTATTTATAGTTCAAATATTCTTTGAAAACCTCCCATTTTGAAACAAATTCCTGTTTTGATTTATTCTTTATTTTTTTCTGATAGACCGTCGAATTCTGCATATTCTGTCAGCTTTTGAACCCAATCTTGTATAGAGGGAATTTCATTACTCTTCCGTTTTGCCGCGATAAGAACTCTACCCAAAGTTTTATGAGCTCGACGGGACCCTCTGGCTTGGCACACCTTTTCCATTCAGCCTCTCGGAGCAAAGATTACTGCCTCTTTGTTTCCTGCATGGATGGCTGAAGCTCGTTTCTATAGAGACGGCAGCCCAGGGAGAGCCAGGCCCATTTGGATTTGCCCATGTAAGCTTCCACCACTGCCCTCCTAGCCTGCCCAGAGGCTGGCTGTCCGGGAGCCAAGAATAGGGTGTCCGCCCCCCCCCCAAATCCCATCAGGCTACAAGTGACCCCAGAGGTAACCCCAGAGCCTGGACGCCAGCCCTGTAAGGTGGGCTCTGCTGCAGCTTGGACTTGCCAGGGACCCTTTAGCTGCGGTTCTTGCACCCCAGGGGTTGGACTTGATGAGCTCTGGGGGTCCCTTCCAACTCTCTAGTTCTATGATTGTATGAGGCCAGCCAGAATTCCTCTTTTGCTGCTTCTGATCTCCTCCGTTCTTTGCATTCAGGTCAGTTCCACTCTTAAAAAGAGAGATTGAGAGAGAGATTGAGAGAGAGAGAGATTTTGTTCTTTTAAAGCAGCCTTTCTCAACCTGTGGGTCCCCAGATGTTGTTGGACTACAACTCCCATCACCCCTAGCTAGCAAGACCACTTATTATTGAGGGGAAGTGCGTGGAACAGGTCTCGGTGTTTTGATTTCTGGGAATGGAGTTGAGAGATGACCTAACCTGGGGAGAAAACAGCAAAGACCTGATGAAGAGAGCACAGCAGAGGTTATATTTTCTGAGAATCCTCCGGAAAAACAATCTCTTAAAGGACCTGTTTTACCATGTTACCATTGTACTGTGGAGAGTGTATTAACTTATGGTCTGTGGTTTGGGAGCTGCACGGTCAGGGAAAAAACAATGCTGTCCAGGGTTGCAAAGACTGCGGAGAGAATAATTGGGTGCACTCTTCCCACCTTGGATCAAATCTACGCTTCCAGGTGTTATAAGAAAGCTGCAGAGATAGTGCAGGATAGTGCGCACCCCGGAAATGATCTCTTTCAGCTTCTGCCTTCTGGAAGAAGGTGCAGGGTTATAAAGACTAGGACTAGCCGCCTGAGAAACAGTTTCTACCCAAATGCGATTTTGGTTTTAAACGCAGTGTAAGGGGGTCTGTATGGGAGTATACTGTATTTAAAAATGGGGTATCAGAGTTTTTAGGGGCTGACCAGGTTGGGATAGCTGGGATAGCAGGCTTGTGGGTTTTTGAATGTCTGATGTAGATTTTTCAATTTTGTTGTTCTGTATGGGACAGTGACAATAAAGATTATCGTATCGATGATGCGAGTTGTAGTCCAACAACATCTGGGGACCCACAGGTTGAGAACTGCTGTTTTAAAGTGTGTGTGTCTGTGTGTGTGTTCTGGGGGGGGGGGGGAGGGCAGGAACCTCCCACTCTGTTTGGAGTTGCTCTCTTCGGTCAACATTTGATCTTCCGGATGTGGCAACAGGTTTCCCCCCAGTGCGCTCTCCTTGCGCATAAACTCACTCTCCCCTCCCTCTCTGTCTATTTCTGTAACAGGCCCTGGCGTTTGGCAGGAGTCTCTTATTGCATTTGGGGACTTTGCAACAAACGAGTTCATTTGGCTTTCCACCCTTCTCTTGCTCCACTGGCCAGGGGCCTCTTTTGCAGTTGTCGATGGCACATGTGGTGAGAGTCTGCTGTAGCTTTCCGCATTTCACTGCGCTGTGGGGGGTGGCTTGCAGCGAACACTCGGCACGTATTGTGCCGTCTTTTGTAAACTGCCACTTTTAGGGTTTCCCCAACCGCTTAGAGATTTCTGTTGAAATATGAAGCAGTCAACAATAAGTCAACAAACTTATACAGTATCCTGGAGCAGCGTAGACAGGGGTTTTGCTTCCAGGCGGAGCTCTCTGGAGCTCAATTACGGCACCTCTCAGGTGGGTGCCATTGCCATTCTAAGAGAACGAGGGAGAATGTGAGCTCCAGCACCTGTTTTTCTTGAAAAATAGCACTGAGTATGCAAGTTCAATATGGTTAATAATAATAACAAGATTGTGTACTGCTTCAGGAATTCTGTCCGTGTGGTTTACACCTCAACAAAAACCAGTGCATTCTCCCTAAAAATACAAATCCCATGTCCGCCTGCAACTTCTTGGTGATAATAGTAAAATCACACCTTTTAAATAAGCAATAGGCAGCTCTTCTCAGTGTGCGTGAAATAAAAAAACAAGCAAACCACTAAGAAATCCCTTGTGACACACCACCAGAGTGCAACATAGCTGCAATATATATCTTAAAATATCTCATAAATATCACCAAATGAAAATGGGTGTTCACATGTAATAATAGAAAGCTGTTCGACAGTGGAATGGACTCAGCTTTGCTGGAGGTTTTTAAATGGAGGTTGGATGGCCATTTAGGTTAAGAACGGACCTCCAGAACGAATTAAGTTCTTAACGCGAGGTACCACTGTAATCAGGTACAAATCCTGCCATAGGCCAAAAACTGACCCCCATCCTTTCCACCCCATCTCTTACCTGGGGGACAGTGACATCCCCCCAACTCTCAGCTAGAGAGATGAATGCCCTTCTCCACCAACAGACGCCCACCCTGTATTTTAAATAATAACCACATAAATAAATGCTCCCCTTTGCCAAGAAAGATCCATCAGTGCTGAGAATCCATCCTCGATGTATCTTTGTTCAGACAGGATACCGTATTTTTTGCTCTATAAGACTCACTTTTTCCCTCCTAAAAAGTAAAGGGAAATGTGTGTGCGTGTTATGGAGTGAATGCAGGCTGCGCAACTATCCCAGAAGCCAGAACAGCAAGAGGGATCGCTGCTTTCACTGCGTAGCGATCCCTCTTGCTGTTCTGGCTTCTGAGATTCAGAATATTTTTTTTCTTGTTTTCCTCCTCCAAAAACTAGGTGCGTCTTATGGTCTGGTGCGTCTTATAGAGCGAAAAATGCGGTACTTAAGAAAACAATGAGAGACCTACATTTTAAAAAACGGTTTGCACTTTTTAAAAAAACAACAACCCATAGTTCCTCTTTCTTTTTTTGGACCAGTTAAGGCCTGTGTGCATGTTTTTGCAAGAATTGTTTTAGAAGCCCGATGGTTGTGTTTTGTTGCTTTCAAGTGAGTCCTGTTTTCCCCTTCTGTCTGGGTTTCTCGTTGCTGCTGATCTCGGTGGTGGATTGGCAGGGATCCCAGCGGCCAAGTGGAAAAGCAGGTTTCGAGTCTGCAGATGCCATGGGAACCTGTTTTACTGCAGGACGAGGTTTCTCCAGGGAGGAACAGTCTGCCGAGTGAATTGCAGAATGTAATTTTTGGGAGGCGGAACCTTGCAAAAGCTAAAAGAACTGAAAAGCAGCAGCAGCCTGGTTTAGCTTAATGGGGTCTGCTGTGGCTGCAGAGATCTAGAAAAACTGCTGATTAGGAAAAGGGAACAACTACAGAGCCTGAAGTTGTGCCCTCACTACTGGAGAAGAGAGAACTTCTCAAATCTCTGCTCTTGAATTAACTTGGAAACCTAACTCGCCTCTTTTGTAAAGGGGATTTTTTTCTGAGCTCATGTGGACTCTGTGTGTGTGTAAGAAATGGACACCTCCCCCTGCCATGAACTGGGCACCCCAGTTTAAGAAGGATACTGACCAGCTGGAAGATGTGCAGAGAGGGTTGAACAAGATGGTCTGGAGACCAAGCCTGATGAGGATCGGTTGAGCGAGTTGGGTATGTTTACTAGGACTGGGCGATATCTGGTTTTCAACATCACAATATGGGACGCGGGTGGCGCTGTGGGTTAAACCACAGAGCCTAGGACGTGCCGATCAGAAGGTAGGCGGTTCGAATCCCTGTGACGGGGTGAGCTCCTGTTGCTCGGTCCCTGCTCCTGCCAAACTAGCACTTCGAAAGCACGCCAAAAAGTGCAAGTAGATAAATAGGTACCGCTCCGGCGGGAAGGTAATCGGCGTTTCTATGCACTGCTCTGGTTTGCCAGAAGCGGCTTAGTCCTGCTGGCCACATGACCCGGAAGTTGTACGCCGGCTCCCTCGGCCAATAAAGTGAGATGTGTACTGCAACCCCAGAGTCGGCCACGACTGGACCTAATGGTCAGGGGTCCCTTTACCTTTACTTTAAGCATCGCGATATACCAATATATCACAATGTCTGGAATAAGGATGGAGCTATGTAAAGGTGATATCTGGTTTTCAGCTACGTAGAGGCATTGACTATCTTGATGGTTTTCCCCACATCGTGATTTTTGCATAGCGCACACAAACACATCATGATTTGCGATATATTGCCGGGTCAAAAAGTATGAAACTGATCTCACGATATGGACTTCAAACCGGTTTTGGATGATATATCGACATCTTGCCCAGCCCTAATGTTTAGCCTAGAAAAGAGGAGACTGCGAGTTGATATGACAGCCGTCTTCAACTATCTGAAGGACTGTCTCATTGACTGATGGATTTATCCATACGTTCTCCAACCTTTTCCCTGACAGAACTCAAGGTGGTTTCCAGATAAAAGGTAAAGGTAAAGGGACCCCTGACCATTAGGTCCAGTCATGGACGACTCTGGGGTTGCGGCGCTCATCTCGCTTTACTGGCCGAGGGAGCCGGCGTACAGCTTCCGGGTCATGTGGCCAGCATGACTAAGCCGCTTCTGGTGAACCAGAGCAGCGCACGGAAACACCGTTTACCTTCCCGCCGGAGCGGTACCTATTTATCTACTTGCACTTTGATGTGCTTTTGAACTGCTAGGTTGGCAGGAGCAGGGACTGAGCAACAGGAGCTCACCCCGTTGCGGGGATTCGAACCGCCAACCTTCTGATGGGCAAGTCCTAGGCTCTGTGGTTTAACCCACAGCGCCACCTGTGTCCCGGTTTACAGATAAGAACTGCTAAAAATGTAGAAAGACAGAGCAAGCTTGTTTTCTGCTGCACCGGAGGGCAGACCTGGAAAGGATGGATTCAAATAGCAAGAAAGGATGTTTCCGGCTAAACATTAGGAAGAAATGCCTGAGGGCAAAGGTTGTCTGACCATGGAACGGACTCCCTCGGAAGATGCTGGGGTCTCCTTTGTTGGAGGTTCCTAGACAGCGGTTGGGTGGCAGGAATTCATTAGCTGCGATTCTTTCATTGCAGAAATTCTTGGGGTTCCCTTCCAACTCTACACTTCTATGATCCCCTCCGTTGCCTTTGCACGTAAAGCAGCCTTTGCCAGACTGCAGTGCTCCTGATGTTTTGGACTACAACTCCCATCAGTCCCAGCTGGCACATACCATCATGCACTGATGGGATTTGTAGTCCAAAAACTACAAGAGCACTCCAGGCTGGTGACGTCTGCCCTAGAGGGAGATCTAGGCCTGTGACAACGGCGTGTCCCTAGGTGTCCTTGCACCTCCTTGGAAGGGACGCCAAAGGCCATCTAGTCCAACCCCCTGCCATGCAATGTGGGGCTCGAACCCACAACCCTGAGATTAAGAATCTCAAGCTCTACCAACTGAGCTATTCTAGCTATTGCAGAGCCCATCTAGGTCCAGTGTATTTTCACTGGGGCCAACCAGCTTCGTAGCAAAAGGGAACGGGGAACTGATGATTTATTTTGGGGGGAACCAGTGATTTAGTTTTTCCGCTTTGCTCGGGGGGGGGATCCCCCCTCCTCGTTTCCAGAGAGTAAGTAAATCACTGCTTCCTCCTCACGTGGCGTCCTGAGCTTGGAAGGCAGCGAGAGGGAAGTTGCAACAGCAAAGGAAGTCTAATTTTGCTGCGTTTTCTGGTTGCACAAACCTTCCTTTGTGCCTCTTCTCTGGGAGCCAACAGGGTGACTCTTGGCCAGTTGGCGACTGGGCACTTCTCTAAAAGAGGATTAGACAAATTCAAGGAGGAGAGGGCTATCGATGGCTACTAGGCAGGATGGCTCTGCTCTCCCTCCACAGTTGGTCCATTGACCACTTTGAGGATGGGATGCTGGTCTTAGGTGAGCCATTGGGTTATAAGAAGCCTCTTCCTAGGATCTTGGCCCCATTTTTAAAAAATCTGGCACCTTGAGTTCCTTTCTGACTCTCCTGTTTGCCTTTCTGTCTTTCTATTCTCTTTAAATTGCTGCAAAAGCTCACATTCAGATTGTCACAATAAAGACACCACATTACTAGTGATATTGTTATTATTATTTATTACGTTTGTTTATATCCTTAAATTACTTACTCTACAAAGTAATTTAATAGAATTTAAAAAGTACAAATAAGAGAATCTATTAAAACAGAGGTAATAAAAAAAATAGAGTGCTGCTATTATCATGGGTTTCAGCAGCTTACAGTAAATCCTCCCAAGGATCTCTGGGAATCACCCGTCCCGTTGGGACATCAAAGAAGAAATTGAGGATAGTTTTTTGAGGGCCTTCTCGGTAGTGGCCCCCGCCCTGTGGAACGCCCTCCCAGCAGATGTCAAGGAAATAAACAGCTATCTGACTTTTAGAAGACATCTGAAGGCAGCCCTCTTTAGGGAAGTTTTTAGTGTTTGATATTTTATCATGTTTTTAATATTCTCTTGGGAGCTGCCCAGAGTGGTTGGGGAAACCCAGCCAGATGGGCGGGGTATAAGTAATAAATAATAATAATAATTATACATATTAAATGATTTTTATTAAACAATTTCAACATACCAAATTATCAATCCAAATAATCAGTTACATTATTTCCCCCCTTCCGCCCCACCACCCAAGGACTTCCCTCAGCTCCCCTCTTAGCCTTATCTGTCAAATGTTCAACTAATAAATTTGTGGATGTTTATTCAAAACCTGCCAAGGAGTCCAGATCATTTTGTTGTCTTTTTAAATAATTTGTAAAAAGTTCCCATTCTTCCTTGAAGACACGATTGTCCTTCGCACGCAGCTTGTAAGTCAATTTGGCCAATTCCACATAGCTCACCAATTTTTCTTGCCAGTGTTCTTTAGTTGGAATTTCCTCATTCTTCCATCCTTGTGCTAACAAGACTCTTGCTGCTGTTGTAGCATCCATAAATAAATTCTTTATTTTTCTTGGCAGGTGGACTGAGATATTTCTTTTCTCCCTCTTGCACAAGACCTGTTGTTGTTTAGTCGTTTAGTCGTGTCCGCCTCTTCGTGAGCCCCTGGACCAGAGCACGCCAGGCCCTCCTGTCTTCCACTGCCTCCCGCAGTTTGGTCAAACTCATGCTGGTAGCTTCGAGAACACTGTCCCACCATCTGGTCCTCTGTCGTCCCCTTCTCCTTGTGCCCTCCATCTTTCCCAACATCAGGGTCTTTTCCAGGGAGTCTTCTCTTCTCAGGAGGTGGCCAAAGTCTTGGAGCCTCAGCTTCAGGATCTGTCCTTCCAGTGAGCACTCAGGGCTGATTTCCTTCAGAATGGATCGGTTTGATCTTCTTGCAGTCCATGGGACTCTCAAGAGTCTCTTCCAGCACCAGAATTCAAAAGCATCAATTATTTGGCGATCAGCCTTCTTTATGGTCCAGCTGTCACTTCCATATATCCCTACTGGGAAAACCAGAGCTTTAACCATATGGACCTTTGTCGGCAAGGTGATGTCTCTGCTTTTTAAGACTAGAACTAGAACCCAGTAAAGCTGAATATTGTAGGATTCGGATGAAAGAAATAACTTCTTGACACAGTGCATGGTTAAATTATGGGATTTCCGCCGTAATGGCTCTGTTTTGCCTCCATGGTCGGAGGCAGCGATGCTTCTGGAAACTGCAGGAGGGGAGCGTTCGAATCCTGCTTTCTGGTTTCTCCCAAGAGGCACCCTGCGAGAACAGGATGCTGGACTCAGTGGCCCAAGGGCCTGATCCTGCTGGGCTCTTTGGATGTTCTTCTGAGCTCATGAAGCGGCTGAGCCAGGAGAACGATGCCAGCTTTGGGGCTGATTTTAAAGCGAGGTCTCTGTTGTTTCTCATTCCAGTCCTCCTGTGAAAAACGACCTGCAGAATCCTGAGCAGCCTCCCGCGCTCTTTCCCCGCCTGAAGATTGTGGAGCGGACCGGCGCCCCTGAGCCCCCTTCGAAGCCCCCCCTCCTCTTCCAGACGGACTTGGGTGAGTGCCTGTGACTGGCGGAAGAGAAAGCTCAGTGCTGTGCGATCCCTCCTTTGCAGGGGGGGGGGGTTGGACTAGATGCCCTTTGGCGTTCCCTTCCAACACAGCGGTTCTGTGATTCTGTGAAAGGGGTATTTGGAAGTCGGCCCGCTTTCCCCAACTTCACTGTTCAGATTCTGAATGTGAAGTTCTGTTTTGAAATCTGGGCATGCGATACATTCTGGCACCTCTCAAGCGAGCACCGACCTTGGAAAACCTCTTCCAGTTGGAAAAGACAATAGATTTTGGTCTAGGTGCACAATAGGGCATTCCTGGAAATCTAAGTCACTCTTGTGCGTCCCACAAAATGTCAACATCGCAGAAAAATGGGTTGGTGTCAGTTTTAATCTGGTTTTTATAGTCTGTTGGTGTTTTAGCTTTCAGAAGCTTTTTGTCGTTCATCTTTCTCTGTTACAATGTTATCGTCTACTATTTTGTAAACTGCTTTGAGATTGGTTTAAAAAAAAGAATAAAATATTCATAATAATATTTAAAATAATATCAGCAGCAGAAAAAATATATCAATAATAAAATTATATCAATGAAATTGATATCAATAACAGCAGAAAAATAATACCGCAGCAACAACCCTCCCCAACAGAACCCCCTAAACAACACCCCTGTCCGAGAGTCTGTTCAGCAGCCTCAGCTTTTGCAGCTGGAGTCAGTCCGGACCAGCTGGGAAAAGTCCTTCAGGCAGGGAGCAGGTCTTCCAGGACTCACAGCCAAGGTGATTAGTAGCCATGGAGAGCCTCCTCCTCCTCCATGAACGTGCTTAATCCTCTTTCATAGCCATCGCTGCCTCCTGTGGCAAGGAGTTCCATAGTTCAACTATGCCTGGTCTGTCTCCGCAGATGATTCTGATTATGAAGATCCCCCGTTTGAGGAGGAGATAAAAGCTCTGGCAGAAGAAATGACTGACAAGGTAGGTCCGTATCTCTTGGGGTGCCATGGTGCCCATCTCATCCTCAAAATAACTCGGAGGTTGCCTTCCCCTCCCGGATGTGCTAATGCAGGGGTCGGCAAATTTTTTCAGCAGGGGGCCGGTCCACTGTCCCTCAGACCTTGTGGAGGGCTGGACTATATTTGGGGGGGGGGAATGGACAAATTCCCACAAATAACACAGGGATGCATTTTAAATAAAAGGACACATTCTACTCAGGTAAGCCACCCCCCACGACTCTCCCCTCCTTTCTCCACAGCACCGGACAAGCCCCGGTGGCTGCTTACCTGTGTCTTATAATAATGATAATAATAATAATTTATTATTTATACCCCACCCATCTGGCTAGGTTTCCCCAGCCACTCTGGGCGGCTTCCAACAGAATATTAAAATACAATAGTCTATTAAACATTAAAAGCTTCCCTAAACAGGGCTGCCTTCAGATGTCTTCTAAAAGTTTGGTAGTTATTTTTCTCTTTGACATCTGGTGGGAGGGCATTCCACAGGGCGGGTGCCACTACCGAGAAGGCCCTCTGCCTGGTTCCCTGTAACTTGGCTTCTCACAGGGAGGGAACCGCCAGAAGGCCCTCGGCACTGGACCTCAGTGTCCGGGATGGACGATGGGGGTGGAGACGCTCCTTAAGGTCTACTGGGCAGAGGCCATTTAGGGCTTTAAAGGTCAACACCAACACTTTGAATTGTGCTCGGAAATGTACTGGGAGCCAGTGTAGGTCTTTCAAGACCGGTGTTATGTTGTCTCAGCGGCCGCTCCCAGTCACCAGTCTAGCTGCCGCATTCTGGATTAATTGTACTTTCCGAGTCAACTTCAAAGGTAGCCCCACAGAGCGCAATGCAATAGTCCAAGCGGGAGATAACCAGAGCATGCACCACTCTGGCAAGACGGTCTGCGGGCAGGAAGGGTCTCATCCCACGTACCAGATGGAGCTGGGAGACAGCTGCCCTGGACACAGAATTGACCTGGGCCTCCATGGACATTCGTGAGTCCAAAATGACTCCCAGGCTGCACACCTGGTCCTTCAGGGACACAGTTAGCCCATTCAGGACCAGGGAGTCCTCCACACCCGCCCGCCTCCTGTCCCCCCAAAACAGTACTTCTGTCTTGTCAGGATTCAACCTCAATCCATTAGAAGAGTTTGGATTTGATATCCCGCCTTTCACTCCCTTTAAGGAGTCTCAAAGCGGCTAACATTCTCCTTTCCCTTCCTCCCCCACAACAAACACTCTGTGAGGTGAGTGGGGCTGAGAGACTTCAAAGAAGTGTGACTGGCCCAAGGTCACCCAGCAGCTGCATGTGGAGGAGCGGAGACGCGAACCTGGTTCCCCAGACTTACAAGACTACCGCTCTTAACCACTACACCACACTGGCTCTCATTAGCCGCCATACATCCTCCAACTGCCTCCAGACATTCACACAGAACCTTCACCACCTTCACTGGTTCCAATTTGAAA